AAGGAAACTTCCAAGCCCCTGGTAGAAGCCAGGGGCGCCACGACATGAAGAAGACAACTGGCAAGAGCAAGGGCAAGGGCAAGGGCAAAGGCCAATCAAAGGGCAAAGGCGGAAAAAAAGAATGGAGCGTACCGAGAAGTGGAAAAGCTGGAGAAGAGGAACGAAGGGAGGCAAAAAGGAAGGAAGGGCAAGGTAGTCCTCAAAGCCTTCAAAAATCTTGGCACAGGGACGGACACTGTGGAGCTGATCAAGATCATGAGGCCATACATCTTATCACACCATGTCTACCTACAGATGCGGACGCCGAGTGGAGCATCCACGGCCAGGTAGTCTTCCGTCGCCAGTTTTGTAGCTTCTCGGCGGCTACGGTCGCAAACACGTGTTTCAAAGAGCGACGCTCCCCCGGGCGTCTCGGCACAGTGCGGCGGTCAAAGACGTGCAATGGCATCCGTTGGCGCGCACTACTTGGGGAGGGACGCCGGCCTTAGTGGTTTTCCCAAGTAGGGGAATACAGCGTCAGCAGCTGCAACAACGTACTTGGGGCGCATTTCGACGCCCTGTGCAATGACCTTGCCCGCAGTATTACCGCGACTCGTCACCATGCGACCCAAGCACAGCACGGTCGGAGCCGATGGTGGGGAAATATGAATGCTGCAGCTCACTGGGCTGCAGCACGGCTCGCCCAGAGCCCGTTCGTCGCAGAGGCCCCCTGCAGACCAGGATGGAGGATTTGTCCTAATGAAGCTGCGTGACCTGATGAAGCTTCTCCACGAGAAGCTCGATGATGGCCTCCATACTATGAGCCCGAAAAACCATCCTGACGACATTCCTTCGTCATTGCAAGGAAGTTGCCCATGCGTCGGACGAGGCCCTCAACGCCTTTTTGCGGAGAGGGCTGGTGAGATTCCAAGGGTTATCATCGGCGGTCCTCCTCACCGTCAAAGCTCAAGCCTGTCGGGCAAATCTCTGCCAGCCCCATCCATTATTCCTCCATGCATGTTTTTCCAGCTTAAGATCAGTGTTCCAGAAGCTCTTCGGACAGCAGGCCATGCAGTGGACACACACACACACACACGTTACGTAACTTAGACGAGTTTGTACACAAGATCGCTTCCAATAGCTGTGGGGAACATTTTGGCGCCATCAAGCTGGACATCGAGGACTCTATTTGAGTTCGACCATTAGCAAGTCGTGGAACCAATTGAGGCGACATTCATGGAACGTGAACGGACGGTATTGAGGTGTCCTCCTGTTCCTGTTGTCCCACCCGTATGCTCGTTGCGATCCCTTCCCGAACGATCCTTAGAGAGATGCTCTGGGATCCGGCATTGGGCGGCGACCCCCTGGAATCATGTGAGGTGTACCTGTACCACCCAGCGGAAAGACAGTTCGCAGTCAACACACAGGTCGCGTCACAGCTCGGCATTTTGGAGTACATCCGATGTCGCGACGACATAATGATGACCGCAGCTTGGGCCATCGGATTTACTCGATGCATGCAGCAACCCAAACACTATGTAAAGGATGATTACGTCGTCGAGGTTGACGTGGTCAACTGACGACACATAAGCATGCTAGAGGTGACATTATTCAAGGGCCCGCGCTTCAGGGCAACGAGCATCTTACATATGAAGCCGTATTTGGAGTCATCTGGCCAAAAGGTCCCGCCAGGCTCGTTTTCTCTTCATGCCCCGCCGGTTCACAGAGGCTAGCCACGGGCACAAGTCCAACGGCTGAGAGCTAGCGCGTCGGGCCCGAATTCACTCGGCAGAGCAGTATCCAAGACGATATCATGATGTTCCTGTCATAGCATTCATCCTGCTGTGATAATGAAGGCTGCGAGTGTGACTTTGAGCCCACACCGAAACGCCCAATTTCCACCCCCCGCAGGGGAAGCATACTTGGGACCCGTCGCCCATACCACAGGCTCATATATACTTCGAGCCTAGCTGGGATCATGAAGGAAACTGTCCATAGATGGCAGCCTATCATTAGTAATGCCCTCGGAGCAGGAGGCTCCAATATGAGAGTAGCGTGGTTACAGGGTGGGCGAAGCCTCCCCACCTGCGCGCGCAAAGGTTCGCAGTAGAAGTTGGTTGGAGGGACGAGCAGTAGCAGCAGCAGCAGCAGCAGCAGTAGTAGTGGTAGTAGTAGTTGTTGTTGGAGTAGTAGGACTAGTAGGAGTAGTAGTAGTAGTAGTAGTACTACTACTACTACTACTACTACTACTACTACTACTACTACTACTACTACTACTTACTAGTACTAGTACTAGTAGTACTAGTACTAGTAGTATAGTAGTAGACTATACTAATATAATACTAGTACTAGGTTACTAGTAGACTATATTAAGTAGTAGTTGTTGTTGGAGTAGTAGGACTAGTAGGAGTAGTAGTAGTAGTAGTAGTAGTCGTAGTAGTAGTAGTAGTAGTAGTAGTAGTGGTAGTGGTAGTGGTAGTGGTAGTGGTAGTGATAGTGGTAGTGGTAGTGGTAGTAGTACTAGTAACATTACTAGCAGTTGCAGTAGTAGTGATAGCAGCAGTAGTACAAATAATAATAGTAATGGTAGTAGTAGCAGCAGCAGTAGTAGTAATAGTAGCAGTAGCAGTAGTAGTAGTAATAGTGGCCGTACTCGTACGATTAATACCAGTACTAGTACTAGGACGAGTACTAGTACTAGTAGTAGTAGTAGTAGTAGTAGTAGTAGTAGTAGTTGTAGTAGGTAGTGGTGGTGGTGGTGGTGGTGGTGGTGGTGGTGGTGGTGGTGGTGGTGGTGGTGGTAGTAGTAGTAGTAGTAGTAGTAGTAGTAGTGGTAGTGGTAGTAGGAGTAGCAATAGTAGTAGCAGTAGTCGTAGTAGCAGTAGTAGTAGTACGCGTAAGAGTAGTCTGTGTACTCGTAGTAGTGGCAGTAGCACAAAAAGATAATACTGGCACTAATGGAAACAATCGTCATGATAGTAGCAGTAGTAACAGTAATGGCCGTAGTGGTACCAGTACTAGTTGAAGTAGTAGTTGTAGTAGTAAATGGTACGAATAACAGTAGTAGTAGTCACTAGTAGTAGTGGCAGTAGTAGTACTCAGAATAACAGTACTAGTACTAGTACAAGTACTAGCAGTAGCAGTAGAAGTAGTAATCGTATTGACAGTAGTAGAAGAAGTAGTAGTAGTAGTAGTAGTAGTAGTAGTAGTAGGTAGTAGGTAGTATCTAGTAGGTAGTAGGTAGTAGGTACTAGCTAGTAGGAAGCAGGTAGTAGGTAGTAGGTAGTTAGTGATAGTAGGTAGTAGGTAGTAGGTAGTAGGTAGTAGGTAGTAGGTAGTAGGTAGTAGGTAGTAGGTAATGGGTAGTTGTTGTAGTAGTAGTAGTAGTAGTAGTAGCAGTAGTAGTAGTAGTAGTCGTAGTAGTAGTAGTAGTAGTAGTACTAGTAGTAGTAACGTGGTGGTAGTGGTAAGTATTTCGTGAAGTAGTAGCAGTAGTAGTAGTAGTAGTAGTAGTAGTACTAGTAGTTAGTTGTAGTAGTTAGTAGGTCGTCGTACGTAGTTCGTAGCGTAGTAGTAGTAGTAGTAGTAGTAGTAGTAGTGGTAGTAGTAGTAGTAGTAGTAGTAGTAGTAGTAATAGTAATGGTAGTAGTAGTAGTAGTAGTAGTAGTAGTAGTAGAAGAAGTAGAAGTAGCCGTAGAAGTAGAAGTCAAAGTAGAAGTAGAAGTAATAGCAGCATATCGCATATAACATATTTTTGTTTACAGCACTGCGCTGGTGCTCACAGCACCCATGGCCCACTCTCCAAAAGAGTGCCGGGCAGCAGTTCTGTCGGGACAGAGCTAACATTCGAGCCAGGTGAGGATGTGGAGGAAAAGAAGGAGGGAGGAGGAGGAGGAGGAGGAGGAGGAGGAGGAGGAGAGGAAGGAGGAGGAGAGGAGGGGGAGGATGAAGGAGGGGGAGGAGGAGGAGGGTGGAGGAGAAAGGGATGAGGAGGGAGGTTGGAGGAGGAGGGGAAAGGGAGAAAGGAAGCGAGGGAGGAGGAAAGGAGGAGGAGGAAAGGAGGAGGGAGGAGGAGGAGGGCAGGAGGGCGGAGGAAAGGAGGAGGGAGGGAGGGGACGAGGGACGAGGGGAGGAGGAGGAAATGGAGGAGGAGGGAAGGAGAGGAAAGGAGGAGACGGAGGAGGAGGAGGGGAGGAGGGGGAGGGGAAGAGGAAAAAGGAGGAGGAGGGAGAGGGAGGAGAAGGAGCAGGAGGAGGAAGTCGTCGGTGGAGGAGGGATGGGGAGGAGGGGAGGGGGGGGAAGGGGGGGGAGGGGGGGGGACGGGGGATGGGGGGGGGGAGGGGACGGAGGGGGACGAAGGGGAGGGGGGGCGGAGCGGACAGGGGCGGGGGGGGGGGGTGGGACAGAAGGGGGGGAGTCGGATGGGGACGGGGGGGGGGGATGGAGACCGTGGGGCCGTGGGACGAAGGTGGGATGGAGACAGGGGGCGGGAGGAAGGGATGGGGAGGAGGAGGGGGGACAGAAAGGAGGAGAAAGAGGAGGAGGAGGAGGAGGAGACGAGCGTAGCAGAACGTCCTGAGGAGAAGGAGGAGGAGGAAGAAGGGAAAGGGGAAAGGGAGGGTGGGAAGCAGGAGAGCAGGGAGAGAGGAGAGCGCAGGCCCGGCGGCGAGCGAGGGGCGGAAACGGGAAGGAGAAAGCCTGCACTGCTCAGAGGGCGGCGGGGCTCGCCTCAGAAGCCCTCGCGCCTTCTGGGGGTGCTTTGCTGTCTCTTCGGGGAAGGCTTAGCCTTAGGTCGGGCGTGTCCGCCTACAAGCGGATTTTGGACGACAACGATTTTACCAAACACCAAAAAAAAAAGAAAAAAAAACATCCCCAGACTATTTTAAACTATTTTTGAATACTCCTCCTGTAGAGGGACACGCCCGACTTAAGCTTTGCCAACGAGCCTCCTAAGGAGGCCCGCTCCCCTTCTCGCTCTCCCCCTCCCGCGCTCGCCGCCGAGCAAAGGCCGGCGCCCGCGCCTGTCATCACCATGGGCACCTCCGGCTCCCCGAACTCGAAGGTGCCCGGAGAGATGGAGCAGTCGACGGAGAGCACGCCCGAGGCCTTGTCGGTGTCCATGCGCTCGAAGTAGTCCGTGCAGGAGCCGACCTCACGCAGCGCGGCCACGAGGGGGGGAGAGCCGCCAGAGGAGGGAGGGAGGGAGGGAGGGATGGGAGGGAGAGGGAGGGAGGGAGGGGAGGGAGGGAGGGAGGGAGGGTAGGAGGAGGAGGAGAGAGGAGGAGGAGGAGGGGAGAGGAGGAGGAGGAGGAGGAGGAGGAGGAGGAGAAGGGAGGAGGGGCCTTCTCCTCCCCCTTGTTGTTCTCGAACGTGTTGGTGATGACGGTGAGCTCGATGCTGCCAGGGGTGGCGCGCGTCGACGAAGCGATGGTATATAACCGCGGCTTGATCCCAGGCAGCATGGTGATCAGCTGGTTCAGGTCTGGCTTGGCCGACGGGAACTTCTGCAGCACCTCTGGGTAAACCAAAAACTGCACCAGCGCAGACTGTTCTGAGCTCCGCGCGGGCTTCCTGCATCGGCGCCGGAGGCGCCGCCAGGGGGGCCCAGCGCAGGTCCGAGAAATTCGCGCGGAGCTCCGAAAGCAGATATTCACGTCGTCATTATGATGTTCCGACCTACTTTAGCCTTGATCACCATAACGAAGTACGAGCACCAAGAAAGTGCCCTGATTAACTGGAAGGATTTCGCGTGCCTGGCCCTGGAAGACGATATTCGTTCGGCACGTCGCCAGCGTGTCGAGCAGACCCTGTTTCGATGCTTTTCTGGGCACTCGGAAAGCCATCTGTTTCTCTTCGCACCTCTGCGAAGGTGAGCGCCGCGCCAGAGATCTCCTCCGTGAAGGCATCCTTGCCGGCGTCGGAGACGAGGAACTCCAGGCGATCCCTGTCCACGCCCGGCGGCGCCACCTTGGCCATGCCCTTGAGGAAGTTCTTGCTCGGGCGCCCGAAGATGTCCAGGAGCTCCGTGAAGAGGGTGGCCACCTGAGGGGAACCGCGCGCGCGCCCGGCGGAGGCCACCGCACGCGAGCCCCATCGGGGGGCGCCCAAGAAGAGGGGCGACGTCCCAGCTCGTGGCCCGAGGCGCGTGCGCGGCCAGGGAAATGCCAAGGGAAAGAGTCAGAGAAGGCGAGGGGTCCACGAAATAATCTGGGGAGATCGACTGGCCCTGGCCAAAGAGTCCACCTCCCCAGTCGTCCCCCCCGTGGGCCGACCCCGGCCCCTGCAGGTCAGGCTTCTGAAGCGCCAGCCGGGGTGCAGAGTCTGGAGGGCGCCTGCAGCCAGGTGAACCCTGGCGGGGGTGTCCTACACCCTGCGAAATGCTCAAGAAATCATGGGTTGAGAAATTCATAGTCTCGGAACTGGAACAAAAACCCAACATGTCTATCAAAATCTTGAGATTTACATTGAAACGTTAAGAATAATCGAGACTCTGGCCGAAAACTTAAGTTTCCTTAAGCGTCGCCTAAGGTGTACGCCGTCGTCGGTCAGACCAGAAGGGGCAGGGTGCGCGAGCGTGCGCAGACGGCTTCTGCTCAAGACATCGGCGTCCGGGCATCTCCTGGGGCGAGCTCTGGCCAGAATCTCCGGGCGGATCCGGCAGAGAGGCCTCCAGATGCGTGCGGGGGGCCAACACGAAATCCGAAATGTCAAAAGACTTCAGGAATCCGGGGATCCCTGGACCCTCGACCCACCCTTTCCTCAAGGGCACGCTGTCGTCCTGGATCCGCTTTGGGGTGTCCCGGGGAGACGACAACGGGATCTCCTGGAGCCCGAACTCGGCGAGAAGCGCCGGGACTGAAGAGCTCCCTCCGCCCAAACCCCGGGCCAGGACGCCCCCCCCTCTTCCTGTCGGGGAGACGTAAGACTCGGGTACGGGGGACTCGGATTGGCCTGACGGGGGCCATCATAAAAATGACGAGACCCAATCTGAAACTTGACGCGGGCTCCCGCTGCAGACGCCCCACGAAAACGGGACCGTCCAATCCGGGACGCGCTCGCCAAAAAAACAAAATCGGCCGACCCGAGTTCCGGCTCACTCGAGTCCTGCGCCTCCCCGACCCCGGCGACGCGACCTTGAAGGGGCCGCTCAGGCGCTCGGCCTTCACGCCGGCGTTGGCGCCCTCCAGGGGCGTGGCCGTGAAGCACTGGTCGGCGTCCAGGCCGTAGGCGGCGAGGAACTCGCGCACGCGCGCCTCTGGCGTTAAGTCGGGCGTGTCCCCCTACACGGATTTTTTCGACGAAAAATCAAAGATAGTTTGGGGACTATTTTTTGAGTATTGTTTGACCTTTTTGGGGTATTTTTGGGGTATTTATGATTTTTCGTCGAAAATCCCCCTGTAGGGGGACAGGCCCGACTTAACTCTGGCGCTCCGCGGCTCGAGCACGCACGGCCCCTCGGGGGCCGGCGGCGGCCTTCGCCGCCCGTCGGCGGCCTGCGGCGGCCTTCGGCGGGGCCTGCGGGGGCCGTCGGCGGCCTGCGGCGGCCTGCGGCGGCCTGCGGCGGCCACCGCACCGAGGCTGTCGGCGGCCTGCGGCGCCCGTCGGCGGCCCGCTGGAGGAGGCGGTGCTCCTTCCCCCGAGGCGCGCCACGGGAGAAGGCACGGGGGCGGCCAAGGGGGGGGGGAGGTCGCTTTTTTTTTGTACTGGTACTGCTAGTGATACTGCGGCTGGACGAGCCAGTCGAGCCTCCGCTCAGGCCACCAAGCAGGATGCCGAGGCAGCCCCACGCTGTAACGGGGCAGCCCTCAATCGGGGGGGGGGATCTCAGGGCGGGGGCCACGGCGTCTCCCCAGATCTCATGGCGCCTTCTTGTTCCGATGTGTCCCCTGGCCGCCCCCCCTTGGGCCGCGCACACGCCGCCAGCCATGATCTGCGCGGCGGCCATGAAGGGAGTGTCCAAGAGAGGGGGGCGCAGATCATGGCCGGCGGCATGTGGGGGGCCAGAGGACGGGGGGGGCCAGGGACGTATTGACATAAGAAGCGGCGCCATGAAATCTGGGGAGATATCATGGCCCCAGCCATGATATCCACCCCCTCTTGTCATCAGCCCCCTCTTGGCCGCCCCCGAAAAGGGGAGGCTCGAGCTACTTTTTACGTCGCGGCGCGGCAGAGGCAGTCTGCACGCGCGCTCGGGCAAGCCAGGAGACGGCAGGCGCTGACTGGCTGCAGGGGGCCTTGGAAGGCCCTGTCGACACTCTGCGAGCGGGGCGCGGCCAGCGAAAGCGGCCAGGGATGGGCGGATGGGGGGCAAGATGCAAGGGTGCTCTTGGCCTCACTGTGCGGGTTGACACTGAAAAGAGTGCTTTCCGTTTTCGTTTTGCTCTCGTTTTCTCTCGTTCTGTCTTCGTTCCGCCCTCTGCTGCAAGACGAGATCAACACGAAAACAGTTCACGAGATAGAGAAACCACCGTTTAGGTGGCGCCATGGGATAAGAGGAGGAGGACCGAGGACCAAAACGAAGCCAGGACGAGGAGCAAATCAGGTGAGGACAAATCGGGAAGCTCCGAGATCTTGCGGCTCTGGAGGATGACTCGGGCGCCGCGGCCTTCTCGGAGCGTTTGGAACGCCCTGAGAGCGTTCCAGAACGCTCTGGAACGGATTTGTCATCGTCTCAGCCCCGTCCGAAGAAAGAGGAGGAAGAGGAGGAGGAGGAGGATGTGCATTATTATCCATGTCGGGGTCTCCAGGAGGCTTCTCGTCGCCATGGCCAATCAGCCGAATGATTATGGCCAAGACGCACTCATGTAGAGGACGGGGGGGCTGAGCCAAGCGTGAAACCAACGAGCAAGTTGCTCACGCCTGAGCTTTTTGAACACACCTGAGAGCAATCTCGCTGCCACGTGGTACTGCGCATGATTGCGTATACCGTCACGGGAGCCACCGTCACGGGAACTGCTGGAGACATGCGTTGGCGGCGCGCACAAGGGGGTAGGGGGAGAGGGGAAGGTTTCTTAGCAGGAGCCCGTTTCTTAGAAGGCGCTAGCCCTACATCTACAGACAAGGCACGCGCCTTCTGAAAAGCAGGGGTGCTTCTACGAAGCTCGTCGTCGTCGTCGTCGTCTCCTCCCTCCTCCCTCCTCCATCCTCCCTCCTCCCTCCTTCCCCCTCCCTCCTCTTCCCCTCTCCCCCATACCCCCCTCTGCGCGTGGCCGAATGCGTGCACGCAAGCGTGCATGCTGTGCCTCGTCGTTTTTCCAGTGCACTGCCAGCGCGTCGCCGAGCAGGTAGGGCACGTCGAGGTTGGGGTCGTCGACCTTGCTGCGGCGCCCCGATCTTCCCGAGGTGGTGTTTGGCTTCGGGGGGGGGCCTTCCCGTGGCCACGGCTGGACGCCTCTCGGAGAGCTGGCCAGGGTGATCCTGGAGTTGGGTCGGGGATGCCCTCCTACTGGCGGATTCTGGAAGAGAGATAAGACATAGTCAAACGAATAAGCAGACATGGTCAAGAGGGCACGAAAAACAGTCCCCTGACCTTTCTCCGGCTATTCTCGAATAGTCCTCCTGTAGAGGGGCGCGCCCGACTTAGTCCTGGGGAGGGGTCCAGGGGCCAGGCGCGAGCGGCATTAGAGGAATGAAGAACGCCCTGACGATAAACTCTCGGTGGTCCGCGCCGATTTCTTGGCTCTGCGCTGAACGGGCGGGGCGCGCCAGGGGCGACGCCGCAGGCGCCGCCAGGGGGCTCCAGAGCCGATCCGAGGACCCCGCAGGGAGCTCCGAGAGCTCACCTCTGTGCCGCGCTCTGCTCCTCGAGCGCGCCGAGCTCCGCGCGGGCGGGCGCCCAGAGAGGCAGACCTGGCCGGCCTCGGCCGGCCCCCCCCCCCAGAGGCTGGGGCACGGCGCCCGGGCGCCGCCTCCGAGGGGCGCCCCCTCCGGGTGCTGACGCCGCCCCCGCAACAAAACGGAGGAGCCGAAAATTGTTTTTTTTCGCCGGGCCTACGATACAAACATCGAATGGTTGTCGAATCCCCGACAACGCTGCGCATTTCTGAGAGGGTCGCCGAAGAACAAACAACGCTGGGGTAAAACAACTCTGCCGTCGATCCCCTGCTCGAGAAGCGTGCCTGGAAAAGCCGCTTGCACAGGGCGGGGACGAGCCCCCCTGGGCAAGAAGCGACGGCGCAGGGACGGGGGAGGAGGAGGAGGAGGAGGAGGAGGAGGAGGAGCGAGCGAGCGACCTCGGCAGCAGTTCGGCTTCGACGCGCGTGGGCACGAGCCTACGAGATTTGGGCGCCGATCAGCGTCCAGAATTGTTACTGGTTCAGTCTTTGGGCGAGGCGGTAGGGCGCCTGAGGGAGCCCGTGGGGGCCCATGAAAGCCTTGGGCCCCTCGTCGGCCCTGGGCCGTCTCAAACCTACGATTCTTTGCAAAACGAAAGGGCGAAACACTCTAGCTCAGCCCTCCCAACCTGCAGCTGCATGAAGTAACATGCCTAGTGGACGGTAAGGGCACAAGTTAGATAATGTTGCGCGCATCGCGTGCTCACTGTGCTACACACGCGTCAGAGTGCACAGCGTGCATGTTCAAGACACGGGGCGTCATGCTACAAAGTGCTGCACTCTGAAACCGCGCTCACGTGTCCCGAAAGAGCAGGATTCCTAGCTGTTGAAGTCCATGAAGCGAGGAGGAACGCGCGCTGGAAAAAAAGATAGCTGATGGCTGGCTAGCCAGTCCGCCAGGAAGTAGGCTGAGCAAGGCGTCGAAGGTCCCCCGTGGGCCCAGGAGAACCGACACCAGGCAGAAGGGCCTCGGCCGCTAGGCCTCGGCCAGAAAACAGAGCCCCTGAAGCCCAAGAGCCCAAGGCGCGAAGTCCAGCAAAAACGGGGGGCGGCGACGATGCGGCCACGGCGTTGTCTCACCTCGGATAGGTTGAGACAGCCTCAATTGGCATAGCAGGCCCTGTATCAGATTGCCCCAAAAGAACATCGAAGCCGTCGTTGGAGAGCTAAGATGGCGAGATAGGATAGCTGCAACTGCAATCTCCGGAGAAAAAGTAGTGATACGCATGCCCTTCAAAGTCCCATGCGGTTCAGCATATCTCTCGCACGCGCGCTGCCATGCCTGGCTGTTCGGCGTAGCCCTTGCACGTCTACTGCTGCATATCTCACATCTGGCGCGCGCTCGGTGGAGCCGATCCCTGCACGGGCTTGCCTCCCAAGTGAAGCAGTGCCACGTGGAAGCCCAGTCGAAACTGCTGGACCATGATCGGCTGGCGCTCATGCTGTTCCTGCGAGCCCTCCGCGTTCTGCCCACTCGCTTCGTTGATCTCGCCGATGAGACGTTCGTCCTGAAACGGGCTGGTTGCGAGCGCGTTGCACGTGATCTGCAGCTTGCACTTTTTCGGCTGGCGAAAGTGCGAGATGGCGTCTCCCACGTGCAGGCGCGACATCTCTTTCGCCAAAAAACGAATGAGCCGAGGGTCTCTTTCGATGGTCTCGGCAATTCCATCTGTACCGGGTCCTCTAAGACGATATGTATGCGCGGCTTGCCGAAGTCCTTCTCGCCTGCTTTCGCATTCTCCGCGTAGGCCGCCCCCATCTCCGCACCCTGATCCGTCGCTGCGTTCTGGGGGGCCAGGTAGAAGTCCCACACCGAGCCCGCCAAATTCCTCGACATCTGCACGGCGTCGAGGGCGGCGCGCTGGAGTGTCGTCACCTCGTCGCTCTCGGCTGGCAATCCAATCCCAGCAATGGCACGGCGCGGGGGGGGTCGGCACCTGGCGCCGCTCGTTGGCACGGCACACCTGGGGCAAGCGTTCGCGCGCATGGCGAGCGAGCATTCGTTGCGCAGCTGTCGAGCGAACGCGACGCGAGCGGTCAGGGCCCTCATAATAGAAAAAGGTAGCTCCGCACGCAGCGCCGTCGGCCACTTCACGCCTGCACAGAAACCCCCCCCTCGCCCCCCCCCCCCACCCACCCACCCACCCACCCCACCCCGCACCCCACCCCACCCCACCCCACCCCCCCCTCGTCGCGCATGGCGCGCCCCGTGCCCGTCGCTCGTCGACGTGCACGCGTTCGAGCCAAGTGAGCAGCATGGGTCCATCAACCCTATGTTCCTTGAATGCCACCATTACTTGGCCCAGGGAGCGCTGCGCTCGCAAGTCTTGCCAGCGCGTCTAAACGGCGGCACTTGACGCAGTCATCCAAACTCGTGGCCCCGAAAACTCCCACGCGCACTTGCTCGCGATTCATGGGGACCCCGACGATTGTCCTGATCCACCTCAAACGTTGCAGCTGGAGCTCAACGGCAGCGGGCGATAATGTCCCAAGAGGTAAAGACCGTCCTGGGAGGCACGCTGCGGGTGCGGCCGCAATCTATCGCGACCGCCGCTCTGCCTTTCATCGGCCCCCGAAGCATGCTTGCGATCACGCTGTCCAATCGATCAGTGAACTCTCCAGGTAGCACAAACGATGGCAGTCCTGATATAGCTGCCGAATACTCAAAGCATAAAAAGGCATCTGACCTTGCCGATCGTGATTGGCCTGGCCCACTGCTAGGCCCGGCGGCGCAAGCTCGGGTAAGAATTGATAGTCAGCTGCCAGCTCTGTCCAGTCAACTGTTTTTTTTCTTCCAGCCCGCCGTCTTCAGCTTACTCAGCAAGTCCGTTTGTGGCGGTATGCAGGGTCGTTCTTTGCTTTGTCCTAAATATGTTGCACTTCTTCGGGCCTCGACCAGTTCCTGGTAGTGACGTCTTTAAACTACGAACTTGTGAACAATCGCACCTTTCCCGAGCTCTCGAAAGTTTTTTCAGCGGTCTCGGTGCGCCTCTCCATTGTGCGTCGCCGTCGTGCTGCTTGAAGCTCACGGGCAATGGCGCTTAATCGTTCACATGCTACATCGTACTCTGGTTGCTCAAGATTTGATAAGATAAATGCCTTTGTTGGGCCATGCCCCACCCTTCCACGTAAAACAGCTCTTCTCCGTGTTAGATCCATTCGTTCCTTGCGCATGTATTCGTACTTATGAGACCGGTGCTCGCCTGGGGGAAAAACCTTCGCTCGGTTTTTGTGAATACGTTCTCGCAATAAGTCCCAGCCAGCTTGCACGTCGCATCGGCCCCGCATTTCCCTCCAGGTATATCCGGGGATTCCTCGGCACGCCGTTCAATCTCCTTCAAGTAGTCTATGCGCAGGTGCCCTTGCACGCAGGCCCCCCTGAAAGAATCTCGGTTAACTCAAAAGGGATGAGATCCTTTGTGTCCCTGCTCCACGTGGATGTCTATATCGAGCACCAGCGGCACGTGATCCTGCGGCAGTGTGGTTTCCCGTCGATGTAGCCTTCGACCGAACTGGTTCAAGTGCGCATCGTGACGATCCTCTGCAAGCATGTCGTAGGCACGATATAATGGTCGATCTTGACGTGGCGCTGTGGTATGTTGGCCCTGCGTTCCAGAAGCTGCTGCCAACTGGCAGATTGTTCTCTTCAAGTGCGTCACGAATGCGTTGCGAAACTGCTGTCTCGATGCTTGGGTTCTGCAAGCCTACCATCTCATCAGATCGGTAATGTTTTTTGCCTGTAGTGTCTCGCCGTATGCCGCAGGAGCAGTTAAGGTCGCCACCCATGATGACCACGCACTGCTGTCCGAGCTTGTCAACCGCTTCTGTGAACCACGTCATACACTTGCCGACTGTTTTCAAAATGGGCGGCGCAATGCCCTGTGGCGGCAAGTAAAAGGAATGCCACTGTCGTCGTGGCGATACGAAACTTTGTCATGGCAATGCGGCTTGCTATCCCCTGCGACCTTGGTGGGAGCAGCGTTTGCTGCAAGGTGCCCCTGAGCGTGGTGCTGTACAGCTCTGCGACTCCACATGATCGATTTGTCCATCGGGAGTTGCGAAAGCCAAACTGCACGCATATGTGGTTGGGCAAGTTGGTCTGAACCATATGTTCGTCCTTCATGGCTGCACGCCCCGTCCCATTCAGCAATAAAATATCGATGGTCGGGGCGAGGGTCGATATCTCTTCCACTCGTGTGTAGTCCGCCCACTCCACATTTTGAGCGACAACTCGTAGTACCGTCAACAAGATTCCTGCGGGTGGAGGCAAGGGAGGGTAGGTACAGCAGGCCGACCTAGGCCTACCGCCCCGCATTGGATTGACCTCCACCCATGGGTTATACGGTGTGGCAGGTGTGGTGGGAGCTCCTGCTGTGCTGAGAGCCACAGAAGCTCCTGGAGGAGGAGGAGGAGGAGGAGGGGGAGGAGGACAACCTCTGGAAAGGCGAGCGACGAAAATGACGACCTGCCAGACCACCCCA